TGCTATTTCACCATCTCATCCTCAGTCTTTGCAGCATCAGGATTTTTTCCAATGAGTTGGCTCTTTGCATCAGGTGGCCGAAGTATTGGAGCTTCAGCTTCAGCATTAGTCCTTCCAATGAATCTTCAGGGATTCCAATGGATATTCAGAGATTAGTGATTGATGAATTAAGTTAAAGATTCAATAGTTAAATCATGAATCCAATAAAGATTTCCCAAGTGCATGCAGAGTTCAGTTCACATTTTTTTTCTCAATAATGAGTGTTAAAGGACATGGGTTAAAGATTGGCAACTCTGATCATCTAATCCTGATACATTCTTGGTACCATTGTCACAATCTTAGTACTGTTGCCATAGATTAATTGGGAACTGAGACTACAAATTCTGACTCTAGATTTGGCCAGTGGACCTTGACTTGACCTTGGGTAGTCATTAGTTCTGTCTCTTGGGCTCTCATTGGTGAAATATGGTTGAAATGAAACATTTTCTTCCCACCGAGGCATTATTAGGATAAATGAGTTCATACATTTGGAACCTCTGAATAAACATTAATTATATTCTAGTGCAAAGTTGGAAAAGAAACTAATGTTAAATAGAGAAGAACAATGAACACATCATTAATCGGGAAACTTGCCTGATGAAAGCTGGTGAGAACAATCATTTATTAGTTTACATGATTAGCTTGTCTTCCCAGGTGGCGCTAGTGCTAAAGAATCCACCTGCCAATGCAGGAGACAAGAGTTCAATCCCTGGGTTGGGGAGATCATATGGAAAAGGAAATGATAACCCACTCCAGTGTTCTAGCTTGGAGAATCCCATGGACAGAGGAGACTGATGGGCTATAGTCCATGGGGTCGCAAAGAGTTGGACACATCTGAGCATGAGCACATGATTAGTTTATGTCTTACCTGCAACCAGGACGTATTGATTCAGATTTGGATTTTCAAGCACAAGTAATATCTCCATTTAGTGAAAAGCCCCAAAAACCAGAAAATTTAAAAAGGTTGAACAAAACCAGGAAATAATTGTAGTTATCAATATGGGAGAAAACAGCACTCCATTAATAAATTTGCTAATCATTTCATCTTTATTGACTTCACTTTTTGAAGTACATAATCCTCAAGACCCTCTTGAATACTCTAGCCTTAATCTCTTTAAGCACATTATTCCATCTATAGTCATTATAAGTGCATTTGTACGTGAGTACCTTCAGAGTTACACTGTGACCAAAATGTTGGGATGAAAACAAAATTTGTCAATAATATTTAGTAGTTTGACGATATAACAAGGATTTTAAAATGAATGTTTATACTAACTTGTGTGTGTGTTGTGTGTGTGTGTTTAATATCTTTTACTTGTTTTTAGTAGCAAGAACTCTTTTGGCAGAAAAATTTGTCTTAGTCACCACCAGTGCCTGAAAACTTAAGTTCTGATTGTGTAGTTTTAATCTCACCACCAGGCAGTTGAGCTGCTGGTAATCATCTGGCTTTCAAGTTAAATCTTTGGCTTATGATTTGCCTGAAATAGGTTGAAAGGGAAAGTTAATTATGTTTCCACAGTTACACAGAGGTATCAGTGATTTGGACCACTGACTATAACTCAAGTAGCTAGGTTAAAACATAGAAGCATATTAAAAAGACATGTATTCACAGTTTAGCTTTTCTAAGGATTTACACTCTCAATATATTCTTTCTTAGTACTTTTATAATATAACGTGCTTCATGACTAAAAGGTTCACAAACTGCCACTGTTAAGCATACACGTACAGAGTGCCCAAATTAATTTTAAGTAAGAGGATTTTTTCACATTAAGCTATTCCCATTAATTTAACTTTTAGATGAAGTTTAAGAGTCCGCTTTTTCCCATTGTGCTGGCCAACAGCCCCAAGACAAAAAATACGTGTGGACGCATTTCTTGAAAGAAATGTTCAGAAATGTAAGCATCTTTTGCTGAAATTCTCAGGGTAATAAATTTATGATTTGGAACAAACTTCCTTGTTAAAAAAAGAATTGCAAGACTCAGTGATTATTTCGTCTGGGTCTACGGACATTTGGAAATCAGATAGCAATATAGGAGTGGTAATAAAAATGGTTTTTAATTTTTAAAAGTATCAGTACATGTGATTCTTCTGGGCAAGAGCTATGGTTTAGCATGGTCTAAAACCCACCGAAGGCAGTGACCTACAGCACTATGTTGAGTAAATTATTTAATTCTCCACATCTGATTTCCTCTTTTGTAAAGTGAGGATGATAATACCAATTCTCACCTCACAGATTTGTTGAGGGTGTTTAATGAGCTAATATATGTTAAGCACCCAAAACAGGTCACTGATATAAGCTAAGCATTCAATAGTTGTTATCTATTATTATTAATAATAATAACAGCATTAGGAGAAGTAATGCAAAAAAAAAAAAAAAATCGGTTAACAGAAAGACACTTTGGGCTCTTCCCCCTGTCTGTTTTAAAGGTTTCAAGTCTTAATTTAGAACCCTTCTTTACTCCTATTGACGTCTAAAGCACTCAATCTAAGACTTCTTTTCGTTAAAAAGACGTGATTTTATATGTCAAAGAAGATTATTCAAAGTCTAATTACAGTTTGGATGAAGAAGAACTGATGTCTTTAGGCAATTGGCATTTCTCTCTAAATTCCTGCACTTTAGAAAAAGGAGTGTTAACTCTTTATGGTAGCATCCACAGTTTCAGTCTAATTCTTAATAATGCAATCCTAGTTTCAACAATTTAGAAGAGACCCCATGAAGATGGGTTTGTGTGACACAATGTAGATAAAATTTTCATCAGTCAGGGTTACAGGAAGAAATGGACGAGACCCTCAGACGGGTCGGTCAGAAGAGATAGAGGGCTGCATGCAAAGTTATTGTCAGGGAGCAGCGATTTAACCGAGATTAGCGACTTCCCAAGCTTTTACCGCCCAGGCCTGAAGGGGGCGCCAGGAGGGAGCGGTTACAGACCCTGGAGACCCAGCGGGTCTGTGGAGCAGGCAGTCCAATAGGACTGGAGGCAGGGAGCCGGGGACCAGCAGAAACTCCACTCTCCTTCCTGACCTCCCTAGCTTGCCTCCCAAGGGTCAGACCCAACTGGAAGCCAGAGAGAGTGGGAGCCTACTGATGTCCGTTCAATCCTTTCAATTTCCTGATACAGAACCAATGAAAACGGATGGAGCGTTGGGTCCACGGGACCAAACGAAAGAATCCAGTACAGATGTGCTGGTGAGAAACACGAGATCAATTATAAAGTTCTCTTTCTGCCGTCTTCTTACCCCATGAAGCTGAACATAACTAAGATGGCTCCTCCAAAGTTTATAAATTATCCAAGCAACAAATCCATCTAACATGTCAGCTTCAGAGATGTGTATGGCTCTTGGGTTAAAATCTGAAGGAAACTGTATTTAAGATATCCACACATCCAAAGGAAGTGTGTGTGCCCTAGATGGGAGCCTGCCAGAGCTGCTGCCTTCTAAATGGGTGAGCAATTTTCTTTCCAAATTCTGCCTGAATCTCAACTCTTCTTCACTTAACATCACAAAAAAGATCAGACAAATGACCTGTTCCATCTGACATTGGTGAATTGGGGTATGCTTACTTTTGCTTAAGAGTTTCAAGACTTTTAATAATTTTATGATAAAGTTATTAGGGCTCACATACTTTTGAAAACTGTGGTTTATTAAAAAAATATGAGCTAGTGGATCCCTGTGTGTGCTCAGACTCTCAGCTGTGCCCAAGACCCTTTGTGACCCCATGGACCATAGATCACCAGGCTCGTCTGTCCATGGGATTTCCCTGGCCAGGATACTGCACTGGGTTGTCATTTCCTCCTCCAGGGATTGAACCTGAGTCTCTTGCATCTCTTGCATTGGCAGGTGAATTCTTTATGACTGTGCCACCTGGGAAGCCAGTGGATATATTGGTTATTTGATAATGAACACTTTAAAATATGTCACACAGATGCACGTGGACAGCATCTAGTGTTTATCTCATGGGATTATATAGATTCTGCTTTTATTTTTGTCTCTGTAGTAAAATTGACAAAGTAATGAAACAAAGAAATATTCTACAATTGAATGCTTTGTGCAGTAATTCTCAGCCTCCTTTATGTTCCACCAACAATTGTTTTCAATGGGTCTCAAAACTAATGTTTTTGATTTATTAGATTAATTAATTTACTTATTTATTAGAAAGTTAAAAGTTGTCACTTTCAGGAAAGGTCAGATTTCATAAATAGCCTGTTATTAGGCTTATAATTATTATGTTAAACCTGTGAAAAGTTGTAGTTGAAATTTCTAAGGCTTTAAATTGACCAAAAACTATTCCTTTAGCAGTTGAAAATTATAAATATGTGGTTGAGTATAAATGTTACTGCTTTAATAACAGTAGAGCATGAGGGAGTTCAATAAAACTATTGCCATCAATCGGTTTTGTAAAATTCTAAAATGGCAGGTGGACAATGCAGGATAAAGGTGTTGGCATCCAGAGGTCAGGTGCTATGGAAATAAAGCTCAGGAGGTGCAAATAATAAACTAGGGACAAAACTGGTCAAAAGAAATGCAAAAGGGACGGTTAAATGGATATTGCTCAGTAAGCAGGTTCATTGGGGAGCTGTACAACAAAGACCTGTGAAGCAAGGGTGAGAAGAAATTTAGTCCAAGATGACAACAAGTATATCAAAAGTCAGAAGAACAGGGTATGCCTCAGACATGAGGGACAGCCAATTATTAAACTGCAGTGTTAATTCTGTGTCTCCTCTAGGCTCTAGTGGGTTCTAGACTTCTGGTCCCACCATGGTACTTGGATCCCATTGTACTGGGATGCCCAAGCATGCATCATGGCTCAGTGCCTTTTAGAAAACAAATTTTAGCTTGTTAGGTATTTGCAATGACTTTAAGTGTATGTCTGCTAAAATTTATTTTCCCTCTGAATTCCTTGCTTAAAGTAAACAGTATATAAAAATCAGAATTTAAAAAAGAAAGAAAGATGCTGATTTTACCTGTGAGTTCAGAGAAAAGAATGTCACTTGCACGCTGGCTAAGGTTTCCAACATAAGCCTGGAACTAGAGAGAAGTGCCAAGTCCAGTGTCAGGGACAGGGTCCAGCAGAGGTGAATGGCTTGTTGGCAGCATCAGTGGGTATACTTTAACTTGCTCCCTGTGTTTGACTTTCATCTTTTCGTGATAATAATCTGGCTTTCCTTGTAGATTTGTCTACAGGAGAGGAAATGAACAAGCAAGAAGATCTTGTCTGATTCTTTACTTTATGTTTCATTGTAAGCTACTAAATTGCCATTCTAATTATTATACATCAGTAACTGGGAATCCAGTTAATGTGAGTCTTTCCAGAGAGCAGAATCTACTCTCAATATTCTGACTCATTGGGTTTCTAAACCTACAGGGCTCGGGACCAGACCCTAAATACTGATGAATTCACTTAATTTGCTAAGGTTATGGCATCCTTGGGGACCTCACTGGGAAACCTTTGCTAAGTTGGCTTTTCCATTCAAACCATACCAGGAGGTCTGATGAGACCAACTTTTGTAAACTCCATAATGATCCCAATAATTTCAATTGCAGCATTTGATAAACTGAATTTTGCTTACCTGAGCCTTGATCCAACATGAATTCTAGAAATTTGCCTGGTTTGGATATTTCTCAATGCAAAATCCTCATACAAATCAATTAACTGAAAGAACAGGAACAAGTCTAGAAGAAACAATACAGAACAAATACAGACTAACAAAGTTTTCTTCTGTCTTTTCTTCTTGGGGGAGAGCTACTACAGAGTGAAAGAAATGACATATGCCTTATCTCAGATATAAACTCTGAAGTTGGGGTATTAAGCTAGAGAGTTAAAGTTATTAACAGTGAGCTAAAAACAGTCACAGGGATAATTGGAAGAAAAATTAGAAGTAAAAAGACTGAGGGATGGAAGTTAGGGATGGAAAAGGTTAGGGATGAAAAGGTTAGGATGGAAAAAGATAGGGTGGAAATAAAAAATTTTGTTATCCCTTAGCTGACAAAGTAAACTTCAAGGCTGAGTGGAATTTTGTGGAATTTTGTCCTAGATCAGTAGATTGGATTATAGATTATATATATAAACTAAGCCTCATAAGCTGAAATAAAGACAAAGCATTTAAACACACTTCTCCTTTAATTATTTTTAACTTGTGTATTTCCTAAAAGGATCGTGTGCTAGTTTATGCCATATAGTATGGATATAATAAAAGATCAAATCCAATTATGTAAGTGTGAACCACTTAGCCATTTGGAAAAAAGGGATCTTGATTACCTTCCCCGCCCCCCCCCCCCCCCCCCCAATATCAAACAAAATTTTTGAGCAAGATTTTGTAAGACATACAAAATCAAATATTAATGTGGGTATCTTCCCCACCATCGTTAAACCAGCTCATTGCCCCAGCAATACAGGGAAGACACTTGTTCTTAGTTGATGGAGTTGGTGACTGTTACAATCAGCTTCAGAAGTAGTCTGCCTGTGCAGCTGTCTGCACAGCCCAGATGTTTAAGGAGGATCTCAGAGATTATCCTTTACAGTGACTTTGTTCTTTTATTTCAGTCTTGAACAAGACTTTCGAATTGTAGTGTTGGGGAAGTCTCTTGAGAGTCCCTTGGACTGCAAGGAGATCCAACCAGTCAATCCTAAAGGAAGTCAACCCTGAATATTCATTGGAAGGACTGATGCTAAAGCTGAAGCTCCAGCACTTTGGCCACCTGATGCCAAGAGCCAACTCACTGGAAAAGACCCTGATGCTGGGAAAGATTGAAGGCAGGAGGAGAAGGGGGCAACAGAGGATGAGATGGTTAGAGAGCATTACCGACTCAATGTACATAAATTGGAGCACACTCCAAGAGATAGTGAAGCACAGGGAAGCCTGGCATGCTGCAGTCGGGAGGTCTCAAAGTTGGACACAACTTAGCCACTGAACAACAATAACAACCATGGAAATGCTTCCTGTTGTTTTTAGCACCAAGACCCTTGGTGTACACACAATTACCCTTTATCCAAGGTCCTACGATCTTTGGGCTGCAGGAGGGATCACTGGTGTCTTCACGCATTTACATGTGTCCACCTCTCATTGTCCCCTGTCTTGTCTCCCAGTCCCGAGGCCCTGGAAATGTGGCATCTCCTGTCTTTGTCCTCATCCTCTCATTAAAACTCAAATCCCCAGTCACCCTCCTATTTCATGCTCATCTCCTTGTTTCCTTCTCCCAAAGTGCTAAGCATTTGCAAACTGAGATTAGGGGAAGGAATTATTTAGAGCTCTAGTCCTTGAAACAGGAAATAACTGCCAAGTGCCCCAAAGGCAAAATTTCAGAACTCAGACCCCAAAGACCTTGCTGTACTTTCTACAGAGAGAGAAGAAAAAGGAAATTACTTTTTCTTTTTTAAAAAAACTGTATCTACAGTACACATATAATCAAGACCCCCATGTGACTGCTTTGATGTGATAGCACGAAATAAAATAAGACATAAACTGTAAAGGATGTAAAATGGTTATATTAGAAACCTCAGCGAGTGAAGATTGGCTTTTCTCCCACATTGTACAAACTTTTACCTGAACATTTAGGCAGCTATGATGATAAAGTAAACAGATTACCAAGCTCTTGCCTAGAAATAGTGGGTGAACATTTATCTGCACTGTATTGATAAACTACATTTGCTAGTGAAGTGTTTTCATTATATGCTTTAGTGAAACACAGGACTCTGGAGAAATTTGCTAAAATGCCAGTGAGAATTACAAGTAGAATTAAGCTTTCAGGCACCTCAGGTCTAGGTTGGTTCTTGGAAAATGGTGTCCAGTTAGGCTGTGTACTTTGCATGAGTATGTGTTAGTCGTTCGGTCATGTCCAACTCTTTGTGATTCCCATGGACTGTAGCCCACCAGGCATCCCTGTCCATGGAATTCTCCAGGCAAGAATACTGGAGTGGGTAGCCATTCCCTTCTCCAGGGATCTTCCTGACCCAGGGATTGAACCTGGGTCTCCTGCATTGCAGGCAGATTCTTTATCATCTGAGCAACCAGGGGAGCCCTGTGTTCTTTGGGGATTGCCTGATAATTGCTGTCAAGGAGTTATTCATGTTTTTAAAAGCTCTTCGATGTGTTGCTTAACTATTACTTTCTGTTTTTTACTGTTGATCCTAAGGGTTCCTGGCCCCTGGTGTCCAGCGGCAGCAGCACAGAGGGGTCTTGGTGGGGACAGGTCTGGGACACCCACTGGAGGGGAGGGTGGGTGTGCAAGGATGGGGAGGAGCTGCGTCTCAGACTGGCCAGAGCAGCAGTCAGTCAGGAAAGCCCACTGGGAGCCAGGGATGAAGGAAGATGAGGAACTGGACATGCTAAACCAGGAAATGAGCTCCACACGCAACACGTGAGCAGGGGCAGGGACTGTGAGCGGAAGGAGCCGTGTTCAGTGGTCTAGAGCAGGACAGAGTCCCGGAAGGGGATGGGGCTCGTAGGCCACGTAACCTGTACTGCCAGATGGTCTGCGTTTTCTGTAATCCCCACACAACCTGGATGGTAGATATTATTATCCCTACTGTTTTGCTTCATCCCAGTAGTCAAGAACATGATCCAGTGCTTTACTAGCTTAGAAGACAGTGAGAAGAAATCCATTTATATTCACATCCATTTACTAATAAAACTAAATTTATATTAATAAAATGTTTATTTGTGGATACGGTAAATCTTGTGTACTTAACCCAAGAGTTACCATTGTGTTTGGTGAGGAAGTTGAAAGACCTAAAGGGCTCTGCTTGCCAGTGGTGCTTGTCTCTGTATGAGAGATGCCCTGTTAGTAACTAGTAGAGAAGAATAAGGAAAAAAACAAACAAGAATTCTGTTCATAAACAGTGTAATTGCACACTTCAAAAATTCAGGGATGGTAACCCCAAATTGTAGGGCTTCCCTGGTGGCTCAGAGGGTAAAGCGTCTGTCTGCAATGCTGGAGACCTGGGTTCGCTCCCTGGGTTGGGAAGATTCCCTGGAGAAGGAAAAGGCAACCCACTCCAGTATTGCCTGGAAAATGCCATGGACAGAGGAGCCTGGTCGGTTACAGTCCATGGGATCGCAAAGAGTCGGACATGACTGAGCGACTTTACGTCACTTTAATTTACTTTAACCCCAAATTAGTCACGGATATTTAAAAACAAAGAAGTTCATAGAAAACCCTTTCCCTTGTTATGTGGTTTTGCTACTTTTTAATGGTTGCATAGCATAACACATGGGATATGATACTGAAAAAAATTAAATTCCAATAGAAATATTGGGCCAGATACAGTCAAAAGATCACAGTTTTTCAACTCAGTTAACCTAATCAACCCATTCATTTACTTAGCCATTCTTTAGCTCATTCTTCTATTTGTTCTTCTTATAAATATAACCACAGACCCTGTGTTAGGGGACTGAGACAGCTTCGGGGATCCCCCGGAAGTTTTCAGGCTATTGGAGGAGAGAGATGTTAAATGTGTTGTTATTATAAAGTTGGGAAGTTCTGTCACGGGTGAGATGCTGCCATAGCCCCAAATACCTGCACGGTGTAGGTTTCAGAGATATTTTTTTTGGTAATTTTTATTTTTAATTTTTTAAAGAACTTTTTAGGTTGGAGTAGAGCCAGTTAACAACGTTGTGATAGTTTCAGGTGGACGGCAAAGGGACTCAGCCATACATACACATGTACATATCCATTCTCCCCTCACCTGCCCTCCCATCCAGACTGCCGCATAGCACTGAGCAGAATTCCCTGGGCTATACAGCAGGTCCTTGTTGGTTATCCATTTTAAATACAGCCGTGTGCACACGTCCATCCCAAACTCCCTAACTGTCCCTTCCCCCAGGGAACTATGAGTTGGTTCTCAGAGATACCTTTTGTGGCATATAAAGAAAAACAGTATTGTTAGTTTAGAGGTCTAGCTCTGTTTAATCAAGCAAAAACAAAACCAGCCAAACAAAAACTCTCCTTTTATGCTTTGTATTCACCGGGTAGCTTTACAAAGAGATAATACTGTCAACACTGAATGTCATCTGCCTAACTGGGCTTCAGGCAACATTTGGATCTTTTTAAAGGGCAGAGTTTTCTCCTCGTTGAGAGCAGGTGAAGAAGTGTCTTCAGTTCTGAACGTGCTCCCTTCAGAGGGGAGGCAGTGCTGCATGAGGCAGCATCATTACCAGAAATGTCAAACACCCCAAAGGGACTGCCAGGAAGCGGGCAAGCCTCCCTGAGCTGAATCAAGGCAGGTTTAAAAAGGCAATCTCCATACTGAAATAGCGTCCCTTCTATGGTAGAGCTTCTCCTGGTTTTGCATAGCTCTTACTGAACACAAATTCAGTACTGACCTGTACTGTAGTCTTCCTAAAACGCTGAATAATAATAATTTTCTTAAGTATTCCCGTTACCCATGGGAACTAGATCAGATCAACTGGATTTGGCTCTGAGCCCAGCCTCAGACTGTAACGTAAAGGCAGGTTTCATCTCTCTAAGCCTCCATTTTCCCCCAAAACATTTTCTTTTGGGGTTTTTAATTGGAAGATAATTGCTTTACAATGTTTGCTGGTTTACGCTGTACAGTAAAGCGAATCACCCTCTAGGTCAGCACAGAGCTCCGAGCTGAGCTCCGCTGGCTCTGCAGATGCTTCCCACTAGCTGTCTATTTTACACATGGTCGTGTATTAATACACATGTCA